TCGGCCTGTGAAATAGTTTTATCCATGACCAACACAGGTTCATTTAACCTCATCGGGAGGGTGTCCTCGTCGGAGGATCCGAGAGAGGTTTTGTCAGCTATTGAATGGNTGGACGGTATGATAAAAGATTTTTTGCGGTTTGGAAGGAAATAATTGGAGCTGAGTAAGTATAAAACTTGTGGGAATTCAAAAACCGATAGCGAGGTTAAATTTTGAACGTACCGCGTCTCAAGGTCAGTTTAGTCTATGGAGACATCCCTCAGACCCAACGAGGAGCGTTTTAGGGTGGATGCTTATGTGAGAATATCATTGGCGAGCTCAGAAGACCCCAATTCGACGAGAAAGCCCAAACGTCTACGTGAACCTTTGACGGTTAGCCAAGTACAGCTAACGGGTTTGTACTTAAGTGGTTCTAGAAGGCTGAATATATGCTTACATATAGTTTCCAGAGTGTTAGATCCATAGAACCGCCTCCAAAATATGACCCGCTTGGCACATAATTCGCTATTCTTTAGTTTCTTTGCGGCATTCAGTATTTCTTGCTGCGAAAGCTTAAGGGCCGTGTTCGCAGCGCAGGTTGTTGGGACAGATGTTAGGAGCAGAGTTTGTAAGTTGGCGAGTTGGTCACCAAATATACTCAGCCCAGCTCTAAAGTCTTTTATTTCTAAGGTTTGCTCGTGGATAAGTTCTAACAGATCGGCCGGAGAGTCCTCGGAACTCAGGGTAGCCTCGTATTGATGCATTGGTAAGGTGTCTTTATCTAGAGACAGAGGAAGCTGATGAAGATGTCTAAAGTTTCAGTAGGAATAGTAAATTTTTTAATTTCAGAAAGGGAATTTGAGAAAAGTGGGATATATAGACTAACGATAAGTTGGACAGCAAAGTAGGATCAAATTTCGAACGTACTGCACAAGGTCAAGGACAAGTTAGATCCTGCTGAGCTCCAAACCGCGTGATTTGGACCATATGGTCCGAGGTTTGAGCCCCACCACCGGCACTCAACTTGGCGGTAGACAGCTTTTCTGTCGTCCGGTTCAATGTCATGCCTAACACAGCGGGACTTTAGGTGATTTGTCACGCCAAGTCCTGGGTCTTAGGTTACCAGTTTCCATGACAGAACAGCAGGTCCTCGTGACCATGGGTTTCGGCCCGTCTGCTGTTCACTACACAACAAATGTGTGTAATAGGAAGGCAACGTACTGGAAGAACCCTCTCGTGTTTATTCACTCTAAATACCGTTCCTCTTGACCCTCTTGGGTGCACCTACCTGCCATTCAATCTATAACAGGTAAGTTAAAGTCACCAACTATGTACAACTTGGCTGATCCTTGAACTGAGAGATCTAGTGCACCAATCAGTGCCCGGTTATCTATGGTCTCAACCCCGGGAAACCGTTATACACACGTCATCATAATTTTGTTATCCGGTAACATCAGAGTCACGGCACATAGTTGGACACTGCGCAGGTTCACTGAAACTTCGTAAAAATATGTGCACAATGCCATTTTTATGGGGAAAGCTACTTCTTTGGTGCCAGTAGTCGATCCTGCCTATTGATGGCGAAGCCGTATAGCACTAAACCTGGTTCCCTATTGTGGTCTTTAAGCCGTGCTTCCGATACAGCTATCACAGCTTCATTTAGGTCCCATGCTGCTGCAAAGAGTCCCATCAACGCATTTTTAATACTGCAGGTAATCATTACGAATAACCGACAGCTTCATGTGGATGTGTTATTGGGCTCTCTATTTACTCCCACTTGGGCTGCGGGCGCAGCACCCAAGTGGGTCGCACGCTTTTGACGAATCGCTCCCTTCATCCTGCTTACTTTCCCATAGAAACGATGGTTTTAAGTCTATATGGGTTTCTATCAGGGTCGACATTCTCTTTGGGGGATAGTTCTCTGCTACTCCGGCTCCAAGGATGACGGGGCTGCTTTCGGCTGTCTTTGTGACGAGACAGCTTCGCTACTGCTCATCCTCCATGACATCTTCCAGCAACAATATTGGTGACACATTATTAACGCCGGTCGGTAAAGATCGGTTTTCGCCTGTCACCCCGAAATTGCGCGGCAGGTTATTGTTCATTATCAGTGCTCCAACACCTTGCATTGTAAGATCCCCGAACACATCGGGGGTTATTTTGTACCCACAACGTGTTACTTGTAATTATGTTTCAGAGTTTGCCAGTAGTTGATTTCTACTGACCATCGAGACCATCGAACAAGACCCTTCAGAACTCATCTGTTTCACAACGTAAAGTGCATATATATCCCATCACAGTTTCACTCTTTTCTGCTTCACCCTATCCGCTCTTGTGCCGGTTTCCGTCCAACGATCTGCAGGCCACCTCTTGTTATTTTACTCTCTGCTTGTCTTGTTTCCAATCGTTCCACCATTCATCCGGTATAACGATTCTTGTTTTTCGTCCTACTTCCACCGACTTGCACTTTTAGAGCATTCCGCCATCCTCAACCTTTTTTTTCTGATACCTTGTCCACTCTGTGTTCCATTTGTAATTATGTTCACATCGACCTTCGATTTTTTTCCTTTTGGGCCTCTCCTGTACGCAGGATTATGTTGTACATTTGATCATGCCTATGCATGCTTCACGGGGCTCCGTGAAATATACACTTATTATTATTGGATTGTTCGGCAAATTCCACCAGAAGTGACCTAGTAGCTCGACGTTCACCATTGTTTAACCTCCTGAATACTCCCACCGTATAAACTCTCCGAAGCTGACACGTCCCAATGCCAGCTATTCCTGGAATATCTAGCACCCTTCTCTTATCCGTGTCCCGGCGCACTTTCGTATTTTTCCAACGGCTCTTCGTTGTTAAGGATAAAATGTGTTTTAAGAACCCCAGTGTGGCTGCCTTTGTTTGCTTTCAGTGACCTAAGTCGTTCACTGGTCACCTTTAATTGACCTTCTAGGTCATCGAGGATATTTTTCTGAACATCACTGGGTTTACTCATGTCTTCAACAGAAGTTTCAAACTAAGCAGTTTGGGCAATAGATGTTCTGACTACATGTGGTACAGCAGAACCGACTGCTGTCAAAATGTTGCGAGTCACTTTGCAACCCCGAATGATGGGTCAACATTGGCTTTAGCAGCATTCGCAAGCGTTTTCGGCGGATTAAGTTGCTTGGTCTAATTGGTAACGCTACGCCGGAAGAAGTATTACGCTCGCAGTCGAGTCCGTTCAACGACGTAACCCACCATTACCAGGAAACCCAAAAGACGAAGGTATCTTTACGTTCTATGAGTTGTATTTGGTGAAACAGAGAGGCCACATCTACGAGGATAAGCTCGAGCGTCTTAATCTGTTATCTCTGGCAAGAAGGCGAATCCGAGTGGAGACCTTAGAGAAGTCTTTAAGATCATAAATGGTCTCTCGGGATTCACGTTTGATGATATGTTTCAGTTCATCTCTTCAAGTGGCACTAAGGGGCATAGTTTAAGGCTGCAACATAGTCTTGTAAGGTTGGACATCCGATCCAAGTTCTTGACAAGTCGCGTAATACCTTACTAGAATAGTCTACTCGAGGATGTGGTAAGTTGCTCAAACGTCATAGCTTTTAAGAGGGCCTTAGATGACTGCTGGGCGTCTTTATTCCCTGAAACAACCTAAAGGTAAGTACCTGTTAGTCCTGAGTGCCATTGCTTAGGACGTGATACTGCACCTCACATTCTGCCTTTCAAACAAAACCTATTGACTAGCAGTGTTGGAAGCTTAAAGATCAGCCAACAACACATCCATCTGAACGCACGATTGGCCCGGGTCACACATCATCCTGTGCAAATTGAAGTGAACTAAACTAAATGAGGCTCTCACAGATGAGGCGAGAAAACACCTTTTCTGTTTTCTCTTTTCCAGATCCACTGAGAAAATCTGATAAAAGGAACCCAGAAAACACAACGTTGGGAGTCAAGAACACCCGCCGACAGCATAATAATCTGGACACTAGGTTAGTAAGGGCCATTATTCGTTCTGCGAAGACTAGACTGGACTGAACGACCTTGAGCACTAAGTTCAAATTTTCGACATGGTATTATGCGCTAATTAAAAGGGTGCAGAGGATCGACCGCTAGATCGACGCAGTAGGTAGCCTGCAGCATAGAAATCTAGACATATCCTGGTAGAATTCGGTGATCCCGCGGTCCGGGACCAAATGCAACTGCGAGAAAATAGAGTGCGTCACTGGCGGAAGGTATCAGGTCACATCTGATAACCAAAAACAGGAACATGCCAGTCCCAAACTCACGGCCATGCACCCGTGATAGGGAAGGTTAAGGCAATCGGAGAGGCTATTCTCAAGGTTTCCGACGCACAGGTCTCTCTAGAGTGCCTTTTATTGAGAATAACTGTTCCATGCTGCTTATTCTCGAATAACCTCCAATTTCAGATACGGACCCCATAAGGGAGACTGTTCTGAACAAAGAAATCGGCTGTGGTCAAAGGGTCGACAAGAAGTCGGAGCTCCGGAAGAACGTGGTTCCGGCTGGAGCAAGAATCTGGACGCTCGGTTGGTGAAAACCTTTTTCTTCGTGTGACCTGACCTGAGATCTTATTTCTCATTCCTATTTCAGCAGAGCTGGGTGCCCACGGTGTGAGGATACCATCAAAGGAATTCTGGAAGCTCAATTGGCTGTGGCCATATTCAGTCCTGTGCAACCTGATCTGACCTGACCTAACCTGGACATTGAACCGACTAAACTGAACGACCTTGAGCGCTCGGTTCAAATTTTTGATGTGGTAAATGCCAGTCTCGTAATTACAAATCACTGTGAGTGAAAGCTGCTGAAACCGCTGCAAATCGTGTAAAAGTCCGTAAACCCACTCAGCAAAGATATTTGGTAAGTCCTCAGGTGCTAAATTTTGAAATCAGTGACTTCATTGCGTAAGACGTTTTGCATAGAAAAAAGAACTGCACTTTGCAAGCTTCCGCCATGGCCAAATCAGTTTGTTGTGGAGCTCTTAAGTGTCAGAAAATGGTCTCTAGCGGTATTCAGTGTGATTGCTGCTGTTACTGGTGCCACCGA